TCCAAACATTATAATATAAACACAATATGCTTAGTTTATTGTACCCACCACCCTTACATCCTCACAAACGGGAAGAAGGGGGGTTGGATAGGAGAGGGGAGGAATGGAGTTGGGGGACGTGAAGTGGCGGGGTTTTTTGTCTTTTAACTCAACTAATTATAAAGCATTTCCGATGTATAAAGACAAAAAGGGGAAAGAGCATTTTCTTTTTGATTTTGATTAATTAGAAGAGTATAGAGTAGTATAGAGGAGTATAGAGGAGAATAGAGGAGTATAGAGTAGTATAAAGGAGTATAGAGGAGTATAGAGGAGTATAGAGAAGTATAGAGGAGTACAGAGGAGTATAGAGGAGTATAGAGGAGAATAGAGGAGTATAGAGTAGTATAAAGGAGTATAGAGGAATATAGAGGAGTATAGAGAAGTATAGAGGAGTACAGCGGAGTATAGAGGAGCATAGAGGAGTATAGAGGAGTATAGTGTAGTATAAAGGAGTATAGAGGAGCATAGAGGAGTATAGAGGAGTATAGAGGAGTATAGAGTAGTATAGAGGAATATAGAGGAGTATAGAGGAGTATAGAGGAGTACAGCGGAGTATAGAGGAGCATAGAGGAGTATAGAGGAGTATAGAGGAGTATAGAGGAGTATAAAGGAGTATAGAGGAGTATAGAGGAGTATAGAGGAGTATAGAGTAGTATAAAGGAGTATAGAGGAGTATAGAGGAGTATAGAGGAGTATAGAGGAGTATAGATGAGTATAAAGGAGTATAGAGGAGTATGGATGAGTATAGAGGAGTATAGATGAGTATAGAGGAGTATAGAGGAGTATAGAGGAAAACAGAGGAGTATAGAGAAGTATAGAGGAGTATAGAGGAGTATAGAGGAGTATAGAGGAGTATAGAGTAGTATAGAGGAGTATAGAGGAGTAAAGAGGAGTACAGAGGAGTACAGAGGAGTNGAAGAAGAAGAAGAAGAAGAAGAAGAAGAAGAAGAAGAAGAAGAAGAAGAAGAAGAAGAAGAAGAAGAAGAAGAAGAAGAAGAAGAAGAAGAAGAAGAAGAAGAAGAAGAAGAAGAAGAAGAAGAAGAAGAAGAAGAAGAAGAAGAAGAAGAAGAAGAAGAAGAAGAAGAAGAAGAAGAAGAAGAAGAAGAAGAAGAAGAAGAAGAAGAAGAAGAAGAAGAAGAAGAAGAAGAAGAAGAAGAAGAAGAAGAAGAAGAAGAAGAAGAAGAAGAAGAAGAAGAAGAAGAAGAAGAAGAAGAAGAAGAAGAAGAAGAAGAAGAAGAAGAAGAAGAAGAAGAAGAAGAAGAAGAAGAAGAAGAAGAAGAAGAAGAAGAAGAAGAAGAAGAAGAAGAAGAAGAAGAAGAAGAAGAAGAAGAAGAAGAAGAAGAAGAAGAAGAAGAAGAAGAAGAAGAAGAAGAAGAAGAAGAAGAAGAAGAAGAAGAAGAAGAAGAAGAAGAAGAAGAAGAAGAAGAAGAAGAAGAAGAAGAAGAAGAAGAAGAAGAAGAAGAAGAAGAAGAAGAAGAAGAAGAAGAAGAAGAAGAAGAAGAAGAAGAAGAAGAAGAAGAAGAAGAAGAAGAAGAAGAAGAAGAAGAAGAAGAAGAAGAAGAAGAAGAAGAAGAAGAAGAAGAAGAAGAAGAAGAAGAAGAAGAAGAAGAAGAAGAAGAAGAAGAAGAAGAAGAAGAAGAAGAAGAAGAAGAAGAAGAAGAAGAAGAAGAAGAAGAAGAAGAAGAAGAAGAAAAAGAAGAAGAAGAAGAAGAAGAAGAAGAAGAAAAAGAAGAAGAAATTTGGTTCACCGACATAGTGTCAAACGATATAGGGTCAAACGACATAGGGTCAAACGTAAAACGTCAAAAACGCAACTAAGGGTAAAACGACAAAGGGTCAAAATGGAAAAAAATATTTTATGTATTATTTCAGGGTTAGGTGAATAAAAACTTTTATTAAGAAATGTACGACTGAAGAATTGAAAAATAAGAAAAGGGGGGGGGCAGAAGACTAAGTATCAACTATAGATTGTTGACAGGAATCCATTAAATAGAAGAAAATATAAAATGTTAGTATAGGATTGATAGACAACTCTATCTATCTATCTATCTATCTATCTATCTATCTATCTATATATCTATCTATTTATCTATCTAGATTACATATAAGAATTTTTTAAGATTCGATCTTTTTCAGAATTAATGCTTTTTGGTGCTTATAGTCTGGGGACTGTGCCCCTGTCACAAACTCTAGTTTTCTTATTTTTATATCTCTGCAACCTGATTTTGTAGACCTTTGCTATTTCAATAATAAACTCAGATAGATTAATAATTTGTAGGCTGAATTCCCTATGGTTTACACCATCGGGTTGCAAAGATACAGGAATAAAAAAATAATAATGTGTTCAATTCCTTTGCTCTTTTACCTGTTAAAAGTGTTTGTATTACTAAAAATGACAATTCTCTGGGCTCCACTCTAAGAATCAAAACTAGAGAAGCTACGAGGTCTCAAAGTCATACCATAAATGTCTAATAATTCTTTAGTCTAAGTAATAAATTCTGTGCTACAAACTCAAATTTTTTAATCCTTTTATCTTTGGAACCCAATGTCCCAGACATATCTAAAACTATAAATTCTGTTAGATCAAATAATATAAGTTTGAAATATTAAAGGTTTAAACTTGCTGATTGAAAAGATATATAGATCAGAAAATAATATATTTAAAACATATTTATGAAACTTAACTTGCATGAATACATGCGGACCCTTATTCCCTTGTTTTGTTTAAGACACCTTGTATTATTAAATCTTTTTTATATAAGGTACAAAGCATAACAATTAAATTCATATTTTGAAAATTACATTTCTTAAAAAGGAGATGAAGATGACAATAAAAAATGATATATTTCATGAACAAAGCAGTGCTTTTGAAGCATATATAGAGTTCCATAGTAAATTACATTGTACATTGTCCATAGAGCTAAATGTGCCCATTAGTAAATACGGAACTCATGTATTGCAATTAACTCAATTAAATATGCAGATATTTATTTATCAAACCCATAATGTGATTGCTTAACTACATTATATATAACAACACATAACTTGTAATTACGCTGTTAAGCGCCAATTATAATCTAACATGAAGAAATAAAGTTAGTTGATATAGAAACTCCGTACAGTTTACTGCGAGAGAGTAATTGTTCCCTGTTTAGATAAACAGGTTGAGGATTGTGTCCTAGTTTACAAGATCGCACCCAATGGTAGTGGCGTTGATAGTATCATGGGATTGTGGCCATGTAGATCATGTCCTAGTTGAGACATTGATCGATTAAGACCTTGTGTACCTGTTGACATTCATAGCTGGCCCTCGTTGACACATACAAGTTAAAGATTGCGCCTACTGGTAGTGGCATTGATAGTTCACTGGATTGTAGCCGTGTAAATCGTGTCCTAGTTGAGACATTAATCGATTAAGAGCTTGTGTCCCTGTGACATTCATAGCTGGCCCTTGTTGAAACATACGAGTTGAAGATCGCACCCAGTGGTAGTTGCTTTGCTAGTTTACTGGATTGTAGCCATGTGCTGACATTGATAGTCAAGAGAATCTGAGTTGTACCTGGTTAGATATGCGTTCGAGATACTGTCATGGAGTAAGGCATTTACTACACTTTAACTGAATTGGTATGAAGCGTACAAATCTAAACAACGTTGAAAAACAAATTCTGTAAAATTTTAAAAGGATGAATTTGACTTTTTAGGAATTAATTCAATAATTTTACGAAAAAATAATTATCAATATGAGTATCGCGCGAAAGATCCGCAGGAAAATAATTAATGAAAACCTTTTTTTGTGCGCTTACTAAATTTCTGTTTTAAAAACAGTTATTTTGGTAAAACCATCTTACGACTGTACCAGTTTGGTGCAGGGTCGGAGCCTCTAATTATGAGGGGGGGAGGGGGAACAGCTCATTTTTTTCTTTCACATCCTACACTTCCGATGAGGGGGGAGGGGGGGGAGGTCAGCTTTTTTACACTTTCTGTTTACTTATCTTCCTCTTTTCCTTTTATCTCTTTAAATATTCCTGTTTCTCTCTCTGTATCTCTAAATATCCTTGTTTCTCTTTCTAAATCTCTAAATATCCCTGTTTCCAATTTCATCTCTCTAAATATCCATGTTTCTTAGTTTTTTCTCTCTGTCTATAGTCTAAACGGTATCTAAACAAATGTATTGGATATAAATATAATATATATAGCAAAAATATATACGTTTTTCCTGCCAGTTAAGAACTAAGTGAACAGCTGTGCTCCGGTCAGCTCAGCTCCGGTATACGGAGACAGAGTAGCCGGCTCATCCAACATCTGTACTTTGGTAGCCGTGAAATGGTTCATTACCCATTTTTTTGTTGCTTTTTATCAAATTTAATCGTCGCATATTTTAGAATTTGGAGAAATATTTCTTTTCTAAAAGATGCTTTGATATCTTAAATAAATGTGATTCTGGTCCGGGAAGGCAAATGAAATTTTCAAGACCTCCCTATCTGCTCAGTAAATAATAAGTGTAAATTGTAAGAAGGACATTTTCTTTAACAAAAAGAAAAGAAACGAAACACTTTAAGGAAGTTATTATTAGACCAAAAACCGTAAACCCCTCCCCCCCCCACACCTTTATTCTTTCTATTTTACAGAAATAATTGCGACAATTTATTAATCAATAATTATCTGTTTAGTTTCCCAGAGGTGCGCGGTTGTAAAATATCCTTTTTCTGAAATTTACAAGTTTTAAAAGGAAAAGAGTGCACATTCCTTTTTGATATATTTGAATCTGTATCTAATAAAGTTGCAAGGGTGACTGGACTAGATAGATTGATATTGATTGAATAGAACTTTAGAAGTAGAAATATATTATTTCTTGAATTTAGAATATTTTACAATTTTCACCGGATTTTCTGTCCTTCAACAACTCTATCAATATCATCCCTCTCGGCCATATTCCCCCTCCCCTTTTTGTTTCCCGTCCGATACACTGGCCTCATCTCAGGACGGATATGGTATAATTCCAGGAGTTTAATAAAATAAAAGATATCCATGTTGTGAACCTAGATTATGATAAAATGATTTTATCAATAATACTTCCAGTGATTTTACAAACTGTTGTCTGTTCAGCGGAGCTAATTACTGAACCTGAAGCTAGGTTTGGAGAACTAGTTTCTAGTGATTCTGGGATACATGATCAAGCAGGATTAGAGACTGAACTAGATAATTTCGTTGATCAAGGTGATAATGAAAGATGGGAGGAAGAATCAAGGAAAACAAGCAAAATTAAAGAAGACAGAAGACATTATAAAGTGAAAACTATAGAAGAAGAAAAAACGACTGAAGGTGCAGCGGAAGTATCGTCCACATGGACGAATGATGAATTTAATAAGATAGATGAAGAAAAGATGAAGGAAGAATATAGAATGAACGGTGGAGTACATATTAACCAGAAAACCGGAGGATTAAGAAACATTGTGGTAAAAATTCCTGATTCCTTCGATCCAAGGGACTGCGATCAGATTCTAGAGAATATTCAGGTCAAATTATTACATTGAATTACAGGAATGGTGAACGCAGTTTAAGTGACCCTCCATGCAAAGATGGCAATACCCGATTTACAACTGTACCCTTCAAAGCTTTGACTCATCTAGTATCAATATATACTGTTTATTTCTATTTGTGGTTATTCTGCATTGTGCATTTCGTGTAAACATAAGAAACAATGGAGAAATTTACAGAAATAAATACTTTTCGGAGTCAGAAAAACACGACGTTATCGTCTCAGTTTTTAATCAGATAAATGTTTCAAGTGAACTCTTGTAAATCTGGCATTTCAATCTTTGCATGGAGAGTCCCTTTAATCAGATTTAAATTGGGAAAATAATATCAATCAATCAATCATCAACCAGGCCAACTTTAGAGTGTTGTCAGGCCTCAGACCTTGGTATGTCCCTTCTGATCCTTGATACTTTTTCGTAACCCAGGATACACAGATTATAAAACTGCCTTTGTTTCTTTAGAAGTAGGCTGCAAGTAGATCAGAATATAAACATTTTTGTTCATACTTTGGATATTTTTATTCTTACCTTAGGCACACATTTGTTTTGTACTGCAAAAGATTATTTATAATAAAATAAAATCTTGAATTTTCTTATTGAAAAACCATAAGGTTTACATGCTCCTCATTTTAAGCAAATTTTTTCTCAAGAAATCACGCAACCTCGAGTACGATAGACTACATACAATTTTCTTCATTTTCTTCAAGTTATTTTTTTAACCGATTAAGATCAATTCGATTGAAACCTAATATTCTGATATGTTTATAAACGTATTTAAATTTAATTTGCATTTACTATGAATGCAATCAAAAAGATCAACTTATCTATCTATCTTTATCCTTACTTTAAATCTTCTCATGCTCTATATCTTATCTATTTCTATCTTTATCTTTACTTTAAATCTTCTTCTGCTCTATATCTTATCTATTTCTATCTCTACATTCTACCTTTCTGGATCTCTCAAAATCTATTTCTACCTCTAGGCCTGTATCTATAGATCTATCTAAATCTATTTCTACCTCTAGTCCTGTATCTATAGATCTATCTAAATCTATTTCTTTCTCTAGTCCTGTATCTATAGATCTCTCAAAATCTATTTCTACCTCTAGTCCTGTATCTATAGATCTATCTAAATCTATTTCTACCTCTAGTCCTGTGTCTATAGATCTCTCAAAATCTATTTCTACCTCTAGTCCTTTATCTATAGATCTATCTAAATCTATTTCTACCTCTAGTCCTGTATCTATAGATCTATCCAAATCTATTTCTACCTCTCGTCTTGTATCAGATCTATCTAAATCTATTTCTCTAGAAATGACTTGAGTATTCCAATTATTCTCTTATTTCACCGCAGCATCTGCCTTGTAAACATATATAGTCAACCTCCCCCCCCCTGCTTATACCTTACATATTTTTCCCCCTTCTTATACAACACCCTTTCCCCCTAATTTTCTTACTCCCCCCCCCTATATCTTTAAGGCATATTTTGGCTACTATTTGGAGTAAACTTTCCACACATAAAGGAACAAGTAAAATTTGAAACTAAAACATCTAAATTTATAATAAAAAAAAGGAAAAAGCTATATTTTCTGCAAATCATTATCTTATTTTTTTTACCAACTCTCTTTTTCTTTTTTTGAGTCTCCCCCAAACAAACCAACTCAATTGTTTTCATCTTTCTTCTGTAAATTTTCTAAAGTTTTAGTAATCTAACCCAGACTTCTAGACAAAGGCAAGACAAGAATTCAGATCAGGTTTTTCATAGTTAAACAATACACAGATAAATACACAAACTTTAAAACAAAAACATTGTAAAAATAATGTGTGGGGATATAATTTGTATATTATTAACTATTAAGCTTATCTTAATGTGTTTTTAGTGTTAAGATTAACCAACTTTTCAATTTGAAAATGTTTTAAACATAAAAAGAAATTTAGTCTTTGACACAAACTCTGTAACCCAATGTCATAGACCTTAGATATTTCAAACCAAGGAGAATTGAATACAAGGAGGGGGCAATAGGGTTTCCGTACACTTTGCTGTGACGTATTTGGGCTGCTGGAAAACTAGTTTTTGCGTAACAACAATAATAAAGGCAGCCGATCTAATGTAAACAAACATGAGTTAGTATACGGTGAATCTTCATCTAACGCAGAGATGCACCAATGTCTGTTTATCATTTGTGTTATTGTTTACAATCTTTATTATTGTTGTTACGCAAAAACTAGTTCTCCAGCAGCCAAAAAACGTCACATTAAAGTGTATGGAAACCCTATTGCCCCCTCCTTGTATTCAATTCTCATTGTTTCAAACTATGAATTCTGTTGGATGAAATTATCTAGTTTTGAAAGATCAAAGGTTTAGTTGTAAAGATAAAGGATTAAGAAAATTTTAGTTTGTGGCAAAGACTCGATTCCTTTTCAAGATGGAATTTCTGTTCAGACAAATGAAAAATTATTCAAACTTTTTGTCATGAAAAACTGTTATTGTTAATGAAAAATGAACTTGGAATGAATTTAATGGAGTTTTGCAGATGATAAACTCCCAGAGCATTTTTATTCTTTGGTATGGAACTCATAGATAATATAGATAGTGGACAATAGATGTAGCTGTAGTATATCTAGACTCATAGATAATATAGATAGTGGACAATAGATGTATAGCTGTAGTATAGCTAGACTCATAGATGATATAGATAGAGGACAATAGATGTAGCTGTAGTATGTCTAGATTCATAGATAATATAGATAGAGGACAATAGATGCAGATGTAGTATATATAGACTCATAGATAATATAGATAGAGGACAATAGATGTAGCTGTAGTATATATAGACTCATAGATAATATAGATAGAGGACAATAGATGCAGCTGTAGTATATCTAAACTCATAGATAATATAGATAGAGCACAATAGATGAAGCTGTAGTATATCTAAACTCATAGATAATGCAGATAGAGTACAATAGATGTAGCTGTAGTATATCTAGACTCATAGATATTGGAGATGACATTAGATGGAGTTCACTAAAAGTTCTATAAACTTGAAACCTCTCCTGTACTATCTGTATAATGTATGGAACCTTGTAGATATAAAAACATGAAGAGGGTTAAACAAAAGATCTTCCAGTTTACTTCGTTTCTATAAATAAGGATTTCTGCCCCTTTTACCCTTCCCATCTCCCCCTTCCTTCCTTCCTGCCATCACTCCCCCTTTACATTCAGCAATATCCCCCCTCGCACACTATCCAGGCATCCGGGAAATCAAAATAATAATAATTTTAAATTTAAATTTGTCAAATTTCCAGTTCAAACACTTTATATATTTGCTTTATTTCAGGCTGGGTTAGAGTTGATGAGTAGAGAGGTTTATCAGAGTTTAAATAGAAGAATTCTACTTGAAGAGTTCCAGATTTATGTACCTAGTACATGGACTCAAGATCATTGTACTCAAACTATCCTAGAATCCAGCCAGCTCCAGGTATAGAGTACAATAAGTACAGTACAGTACAGTACAGTACAGTACAGTACAGTACAGTACAGTACAGTACAGTACAGTACAGTACAGTACAGTACAGTAAACTAAATAACCAAAGTATTCACTAAACTGTTATCTTACACTGATATATTCTAGGATGCTAGTTTACAGATTACACCTGGATCTGTTGGTTCCCAACCCTATACTCAACAAAGACAAGGTTGCGGAGAACCAGGAGATAATATATTCATACCTTACTCCTACCTTCTCCTCAACTCTACAGAGACAGGACGTAGATTAGGAAATCTCTGGTTCCGTCTTAGATACGGAGTATTCGGAGATATTGACTCCGACCTAGATCTTGTATCAAGACAATATTCTCAATGTCTGGGTAAAACTGTCAAGGATATTATTCTCCAACATGAAGATTTCTCTAAACCTAAACCTATCTCCTATCCTAACTTTACTACACCTCAGATAATCATTATGAAGAGAATACAACCTAAGTTTATTATTCTCCTTGAGAACTCAGTTGAGATGAACCATCAAGATTACTGGGATTATATCAGGACAGCTTGTAAGAAGTTTATACTCCATGATCTACCTGAAGATACAGAACTTGGTCTTGTTCTATTCAATGATGATGCTCATATCTCCCATCCTGTAGGTAGATTAGGACCCAGAGTAATCTCTTCAACCAGGAACGGTTTAGCGTTCTCAATACGAACCAAGCATAATCTATCACCTAGAACTGGAAGTTGTGTAAAATGTGGAGTTATGAAGGGAATAGAAGCTTTACAGATATCTGGTGCATCAAGAGGAGGAGTTATTATTATTATTAGTCGTGGAGATTCATCATCCTTTACAATCCAGGATGAGATAGAATTAAACCAGGTTTCATCAAAACATCAACTTCAGATATTTACAATCTCTATTCCTCAACCCAGTGTATCAGAGCTTTCAATACCATTGGAGAGATTATCTTATACTACTGGAGCACAGAGTTATCTGGTTTCAACTCAATCTCAAGAAGATAAACCTTCTCTATCTGTTTATATGAACCTAGTAGATTCTCTTAGAGAGATATTATCATCAGTTCTACCCTACTCAAGTCAACTGGTGAGTTATTTAATATATTTCATTTATATATTTATATATTCTTATATTTATATTTTTCAGATATATGAGCGAAGATTTGAAGGAAGCATGGATATGGAAAGAGAAGAAAAGGATAGTTTTATTATTGATAAAAGTGTAGGTGTAAATACACAGTTTAATGTATATTTCCCAGAAATAACTGAAAGTTATATTAAATCTTTGAGTTTATCTGATACAAGAAGAACAAGATATTCAACATTAATGGATACTACAGCTGGTTTACATTATTATACTATATATAATGTACCCTGGGATATACCTGAGAATATTGGTATGAGATGGAATTATAGTTTAGTGAGAATACCATCTCCTATACTACAATGTAGTCATGTGATACAAGTTACATCTAGTTCATCTTCAAACCATGATAAACTAGATATAAAGATATCTAGTAACAAGGATAAGTTTAATGCTAGTGTAACACCAGATTCTCCTGTTATACTATACACAGAACTACGGTACAACCAGAAACCTGTTCATAATGCTAGGATTGAAGCAAAGATTGAAGGAATAAACAGAGCTGGATTATCCATACCTTCAACCAGTATAATTCTTGTAGATTCAGGTTCAGGGGATCCTGATATTTATCCAGGAGACGGAGTTTACTCCAGGTATCTTACAAGTATACAGGAGGAGGGTAGATACACTGTATCCGTCCATGTATCCAGTACTCCTAGTTCTCCAGCCTACCTGGAGTCAGGTTCAGGTCAAGAGGAGCTGGGTGAGTTCTCACGAGTATTCTCCGGGTATATATTTCATATATCAAGTGTACAGAGAAGTACCGTGGATATTTCTCCTCCGTCAAGAATATTGGATTTAACTGTTCAGGTTTTATCATCTCAAGGAGAATTTGAGTTTAAATGGACAGCTCCTGGAGATAATTATGATGATGGTAAACCTACTTCTTATAAACTCTTTTATACTCAGGATCCAAACAGTTTTTATAAATATTCTCAACCTGGATCTGAGCTTCATCTTGTTCAGGGATTTAGTGGTTCTAAACCTAGTGGAGAAAATGAATCCCATCGTATTCTAGTTCAGGATTATAATATTAACCTATACTACTGTATACTGGGGGTAGATAATCAAGGTAATACAGGAGAAATATCTAATATTGTTGTAGCATACATGCCTCAACCCTATTCTCCACTTCTACATTCAGGACAATCATTGAGAGAGCAGGGTCAGCTCAGAGAAGGTTTGTTCAATCCGTTCCAGGTGATCAAGGAACCCAACAAGATTATCATGTATGCTGTTGTTGGAGTTGTAACTGTTGTAGTTTTTACATTTCTTGTTGTTATGTTAATCCTAGTTGTGAGCAGGAAACTAAATAGAAGAGAAGATGAACCAGAACCTTTAGATCCAGGATTCAAGGATAATGATCTTGTCAGATTCTCAAGTATTGATCTTAACATACACGGAGATTCAAAACCTTCTCAGTTTATCTCCAGGATTGATCCATATACAGAGATTGGTCCTGACTCCAACTACAACTCCCAGGATAAACTGTTCTACAGCCATGAGAACCTATATCAGCAGGTTACAATCACGACCTCCAGTATAGATCTGAACCTAGCGTCTTCTGCTATATATGCTAAACCTCTCCCTAGAAGTGAGCGAGGTTATAAATCCATCTTGAAGAAGAGAAGAGAGGACGGAGATGGAGATTCAAGCCCATCAGAGCTCTCGGATACACAACACTCCAATCTTGCGTCGGAACATTCGGGTTCTGGAAACTCGTATCTTGAGAGCTACCTGGAGACCAACCTGGATAATCTATCCTTGAAACAAGGGCCCCCAACCCTTCCTAAACCGTTCTTATCCCTGGATATAACTCAGGATTTGGCTCAGGGGCCCTATACAAGTCCAGATTTGTTGTACGAATCCAGTAAACGGATAAGAACATGTACACAAGTTTAACGCACTACATGTAAAATCTCAACTTATTCATTTATGTACTTACATATCTGTTATAAACATTTTTTACAATTGCTCTTCGTAAACCAAAGATTTTATTAATCATTATCTTTTCACCCTAAATGTTGTTTTCCTTACACGCTCTAGTCTAAACTAAATCATAAAAATTCATTCAGTTCATGGATAAATTGGGAGGTTTTCCCCTGTTGATTATACATATGTAATTTTTACAAACATTTTCATACTTTTTGTAAATATTTGATTACAAAATTTCGCTTCTCAAATAAATATCATTATTTTACAGAATGTAGAATTGTAAAAGTTCTTATATTATGCTTAGTGTACATGAATGTACGAGTACATATGTTGTTTGTTTGTGAGCTTATATTCCGTAATAAAATTTTATAATACTTTACGCTTAATTGAACTCAAAGGCAGAAAACAGGTGTTGTATTAATGTGCTGAATCAAACGAAAGCTGTAACCAGCAATCCAGGACTTTCTAGGGATTCTTTATTGCTCTTTTAATTTTAGACTTTCATTTTTTGCCGGGTTCTTTGTTGATATTCTTTTTTCTAGATCATTATTAATATTTCTCATTTCTTTCGATTGCAAACTTATTTTATAATTGTCGTTACTCTCTCTTTTTTCTCTTTGAGCCTTATTTTCCTTTTTTTCTTTTTACTTAATTCATTTTTATGCATAAAACTGTGGAATACGAGTTAGGAGGACTGTTAGACTCAAATCAACATGTCACACAGGAATTACAAATTGTGCAGTTTACACACCCATTGTACATTTACAAATTGTGCAGTTTACACACCCATTGTACATTTACAAATGATTTTAAAGCTTTTTGTTTATAATTGATTTCTAAACATGTTATTTTGCTGATTTTTAAACCTTTGCAGTTAAAACAAATGGATTTTTGTTTAAATCTTAATGAAGTTAAATAAATAGAGCTTTGATTATTCATGACAATGGGCGTGGTGGGGAGGCGGGGGGTAGAGGGGGGACAATGGGGTTACAGAGACATGTTCCAGCGTAATTATTACATTGAGTCTTGTTAATTAGTCTAGGGTTTAGTATAATTAGCAGATACTAAACTATGCTGAGTATTCACAATACAGTTGATTGATGACATACTTTTGTGAAGGTAACAATGTATGTTTAATGTTCAGTTTTACTTGTTTCTTCAGTCAATGTCAATTTTAAAAGAGGAGGGTTTCTGTAATTCAGTTTATATCACATTACCCAAATGCGTGAACAATAGAGCGTGTTCTAAATCAAATTCTACCTATAATATCATTTTGTGTATGTGTATGGGTACATAGAGTTCATATCATAAGCAATTTAAAAAACGAGCAATATACCTTTAAATTTTTCATTTTAAAATTGTATTTTTAAGATAAAACTAAACCCAATTACTTAACTTAATTAAACATGACAGACGACTCTGGGACCTTGTGCGCTTGATTCAAAATTTAAGAAATTGCATCTATTTATGCAATAAGTAGAATTTAGAAACTTTATATTTCGATAACACATCCTATTGAGCAATCATTTTAAGCCGGAAAAGTAGGAAACATATTTTATTTAGTTGTAACAATTTTAAAATTTGACTTTTCCATTTTAAAACTATTTTAAGAATTTTCTGAAATGTATTTGCGGATTTTGAAAATTTCTCTCAGTTTTCATTCTTGACAAATATAAGTATTTAAAACTATATGTTTAACTATGTCAGCATTCCAATTAGATTAGGTCACATTAGTATAAATATGTATATAGATAAAATTTTACCACTTTTAAATTGCATATTTAACCTCATCTGAATTTGCAGCTTATTCATGTTATTGACTTTTATTTTTACTAGGGTTTCATGGAGCTTCTTTTTCTTTTTCAATTGTGACAATTTTTTCTTTGTATACATTGTAAAACAAAAACAAAAAAACCTCGCGGATTTTATAGAAAAATTCGTGGATTTTCAAAATTTTATGAAAATCAAATATTTTTGGAGTCTAATTTTTGAAATTTTGATTGGGTAACAATGAGGAAGATATTGTCGAATTCTGACAATTTATCATATTTTCTTTACTGCATAAATCTGCTCAATTGAAGAAAATATTTAATTTTGTGCTGGTAAAACTAAAAAAACATGGATTTCATAGGATCAGACTGGATCAGACAAAAGTTTAAACTATACAGTTCTCTATATGACATGCCATTTTACAATTGGAGATTTACTTGATATTACGTCTATGGGTTCCCTACAGTATGCTGTGTGTGTGGCACTCCTGTATGACGAGTCCGATTAGCGCCTGATCATGTGTTTGTTGTCTATTTTAAACCAATAGAAATAGTATGGCAGTATCATGTATCTGTCTATTTATCTTATTATCCAATTAGAGATATGAATCCTTCAATCGGCGCTATCAGTAAATGGAAATATTTACTACTACTGAAAGTGGTGGTGTAAAGGTTCGGATGTTATATGTCCCCAAAGTGTATTCTGTGTATTCGTGAAGGTGTGTATGCGCATTGGGGGTGTCCCCAAAGTGTGTTGTTTGTGTTTGTGAAGGTGTATGTGTGAATGTCCCCAAAGTGTGTTGTTTGTGTGTTTTCCGCAGTGTTTAAATAAAGGATTATCGAGAGGAATTACAAATACTAGTTTTTACCCATATAGAGGTATATATAGATATTGATATATCAATATAAATATAGATATATAAATATATAGATATAAAGATAGATATTTAAATATATAGATATAAATATAAAAATATATAGATATAGATACATGAATAGATAAATATAGATATATAAAAAGATAGATATAGATATATAAATAGATACATATAGATATACAGGGTGAGTCAAAAAAGTGTGATTAGCGGCGCCTGGTGCAAAAGTGTACCTTTTTTGTGCAACTCTCCTGTATGGTGTTTTTTAAAAATATTTTTTGAAAATTTGTTCATTTTTTGGTATTTCAATTGCGCAAAAAAAAAAATCCGCGAATCTTTTTGGGCCAATGGAGTACCAAAAAAAACAATTTCAAAAAATATTGAAAAAACACCATACAGGAGAGTTGCAGTACAATTTTCCACCAGGCGCCGGTAATCACATTTTTTTACTCACTCTGTAATTATATACAGGGTTACCCACTAAGACTGAGACTGTAAAGAAGACTTTAAACTATTTATATATGACGATTCCAAGTCCTCTAGCATAAATAAAGATTGTATTTTTATACCAATTTTAATGACAACAAGTTTACAGTTGCAGGAAATAATAAATATAAAAAAGATCTAAGATCTAGATATTTATTATCTCCGTATCGAGATTATTTAAATTGTACAAAATAGTTTACATGGATTAAATAAGACAATTTTACATCAAACTCGTTTACATATATTTTGAGAGAATTTGATAGGAGTTAATTTACGGATACATTTTTAAATACAAATTTGGTATCAAGGCTACTTAGACTATGCAAAACATACAAATTGAGAATAATACCAACGAAGTAGTGGTACATTAAATACATAAAATAGGTTATTGAGGAGAAAAGTTTATGTGGATGAATAAAAATATTTTACATCAAAATCGTTTACATATATTTTGAGAGAGTTATGTAGAAATCAGTTTCGAGGCTATATAGCGTATAATTTCCGTACATTCTCATCCTTTGTTAGTAACCCTGTATGGATAAACATAGATATGATATAATAGACGATCTGAAGGGCCCGGCGTTGCCCGTGTAAAAAAAATTGAAAAAAAATTGAAACAAAAAATTTCGATTTTCAGCCGGCTATACGCAGCATGTATATATACAAATGTCTTGTTTTATTATATAGATAGAGATATAAGATGGATAAATAAATAAATTCCAAACTTTAAAAAATGCATTATGCATATTTTCTTTAAAAAAAACTTTATATAAAAACTAGAGCCTCAATATCTATTGCAGTCAATGGAATTCTTTTTTTTCTTCATCATATAATCCATTATTAATCTAATAATAATAGTATTAATAATAATTAGATCCTTAGATTGAAGAAGGGTGAATGTTAAAGGAATAATAATATAATACTGATAATTTATCATGATTACATGAAGTATAATGAAGACATGGTTATGCACTTTATCAGATATTTAGCATAATCACAATTCTTGAGGGGGGGGGGGGGGGGGGCAATCATCTAAGCCCCATCAAATATATCAAATATATAAATGTTATGTTCGTAATATAGGCCAGTACGTGTACATTGTACATTGTACATGGTTAATCAATCTGAAAAAAGAAAAAAGTGTTTTATTGAGAGAATAAATAATTTATTGTATATTGTTTATATAAATATTAAAAATAAAAAAGAATACTCTTAAAACGGTTTGGTTTGGTTTGATTTGGTTTGGTTTACAGAAGGGAATAATAAATCTTAATATATTCTCAACAAAGAATAGAAAATAGGCTTCGTCTTCATAAACATTCATCTAAATACTATATTCATATTCTTTAGGGAGCTTTAAAGGGACTGTTAAGGTAAGATGAAAGGGGGTATAGCCAGGCTGAAGCCTAAATATTTGAGGAGTTGATCGCATTTATCTGCATGATGTCCCTGTCACGAGAAATTGATATAAAACTGTGTCCGAGTTATACTCATATATAGAAAACTCATGTATATGTGATATGGTATTTAAATCTAAGTGTAAACAGATCATAACTAGCAAATACGATAAACCCTGCCTAGAAATTTAGGTACGCCCTTATTATAATTTTAATGTAATAATTTGACATTTTTAGGTTACCTTTATAATTGTACATTGTACTTTTGTCCCTGCCAAGTAAATTCCTTAAAATATTGAGAGAAGAGACACCTTTTTAGGCTTTCATTTTTCCTTAATGGTCACTTTAAGGAGCTTCAGGGTGCTTCAGGGGGCTTCAAGGGGCTTCTTGGAGCATCTGGGGGCTTCACGGGGCTTCTTGGAGCATCAGGGGCTTCACGGGGCTTCTTGGAGCATCAGGGGGCTTCACGGGACTTCAGAGTGGGTTTCACATCCTTTTTTTCTAGATTTTGTTGCAACCCATTTTAACTGACTTATATGGTAATTTTGTTTTTATTACTAAAACTAGAAAATTTGTTCAAACCTTCGCTATTTGAACATTGCAGTGTTGCAATGTTTACAGTCTTAAATTTAACCTTTGAACTTTAATTGTAAACAAACACCATTTTCATTTTGTAAATCTTAAACTTTTATGTTTTACAGAAACTTTTCATTTTGCCAATTGGCAATGGTTGTAACTGCAAATATAAAAATTAAATGTGATTGGCAGTGGTTGCAACTGCAAATATAAAAATTAACTGTGATTTGTAATGGTTGCA